TTACACAGAAAAAAAGCACTCAAGCACTCCAAAGCTGGGATCATTTGAACAATCAATTTAGCATTGGCAAAATTAGCTAAATGCAGAGATATCTTCTGTGGGATGTTGAATTTCTAGCTGGTAGTCAACCAAAGCATTCTTTAAAACAGTCAGTTTATTAATCCCATTAAATCCTCTTGCCCATTATTCTATTAAGACCAACATCAGACGAATATTTTACTGTGTTTTGGCTCAGCTGGCAAGGTACTTTTAGCCAGCACAATATTTTCAGTTTAGTGTAAAAGTCTGCTTTAGAAGCAAAGAAAACTAAAGATATTTTTTTTTCCTTAACTCTATAACAATAAGCCTGATTTTATTGAACTAGAAAGGTTTGCTCGTAACATATGCATGAGGTAATATTTAAATAAGCCTGTTCAATAAAATGCTAGGTATGTCACTCAGGTCCTGAGAAAGCAAGGTGCTGCTTTCAATTACAATTTTAATATACCTGAGCACGTGAGTACTCCCATTAAAGTCAACGGGATTATGCAGATGCTTAAGGTTAAAAATGCTTTGCTGAAGAAGGATGATGGGGCTAGAATTAAACACTGCAGGTTCCTCCTATATGCTGCAGCTGCACCCTGTACGAGAGCTGGAGTAGAATATACCTGATTCATATACAGGATGAAAATTAATTCAAAACATACTCCAGCTTTGAATAGAGATGTATTTTACAAAACCTGCTGGCATTAATCTGCATGAAATACTGCCTTAGCTAATAAGAACACCCAGGCTTTATTTATATATTGAGCCATTTGATAGATACAAATGAAGAAAGAGGTAAATAGAAGCCAACATATTTTTGAATAAAAGCCCAGAGGTTCTCTTAGAGTTCAATGATCTTTGTGTCTAGATTATAAAGAATTCAGAGCAGCTCCGTGTGACTTGCCAACTACTGAATAGAGTTCCAAAACATCTGTAATATTAAACAACTTCAAGCCTCCTTTTTATGCTTGTTTTCATCCAACAGTGATTTATAGAAATCTATTGGCTTCTCCATTGGTCATTTCTAAAAAGAAATATGCCGGGAGGAGGAGGAGGTTTTAAAATTTGTTGGGACACCACTACCAAGCTGCAGCTGGAATTAGAAGTATTTTAACAGTGGATTTAGATTTATTTAGGAGATTATGGAGAAATGTTAACTGCATTACATGGGTTATTTTAATCATTGCAAAATGAATTTGTGGTGTTGCTGTGCAAAGAACCATTGGGCTCACAGGTAACTTGATGGTTTTGGGTAATTCAAAGCAACTGAGCTGCTTTTGAGGAACCGATAAAGGACAGATTTCTTGGACTAGATCCCCACTGGTAACATTTTCCTTTCAGTAGAGTCGCAGCCCATTAATTCTCACTGTCCAAATATAGGTAGCATTAGTTTAAATTAGAAGTTTTATAACTGATTTAGCTGAGCTACTGAAATCCTTTATGTATACAATTTTATCTCGTTTTCAGAGATCCTCTTTGGATTGGTTTATACCTGTCCTGATTAACATATACCAAACACAATTTACTTGATGAAAAACCTCTTGGTTTTATTTTTGTATCAGTTCAAACTGGTTTAAAATTACTCTCTGAGACTGAGTCTCATGCACAGCAGTTTTCTGATATGATGAAAGGTGTGATTTAGTTCAAACTGCATAACTGGTGTTTATGGACACTCCATCACTGTAATCCCTCGTTTAAACATATACAGCTGCAAGCTACACCAATACGACCAACTTTAAAGTGGTATCAGCTCCCCAAAGCTGATTGAAACTAAACAGGACAGTGTCTGTGACCAGGCAATCCCTATGTTAAAGGGCTGAAGTTATTCCCTGTGACAAAGCTGAATGTTAGAAACTGGATCTAAAGCATGATCATACTGGAAACTCCTGGACAATTTTACTTGTGGAATCAAGGCTTTAAAATCAGGTCTTGGGCCTGTTTGCATTCAATTTTTTTTAAAACCTGGAGGTTTCCCTGCCAGAGATTTGTTGACCACTGGTGGCTTGCAGAGTATTTATTGGTGGCTTAGACACAGGTATTTGGTTACAGGACAGTGCCTCTCATCCTTTGTGGTGGAGAGAACATGAACAAAGGGGATGGGGAAGATGTAATGGCTGCATCAGCAGCATGATTCACTCTTTTAAGAGAGGAATAAAATGCTGTCATCGTTAAAATTGCTGAAACACAGAAATGTTTCCAGCCTCTGCCACATCTCCTTTGGCACATGGTCTCTTAGTGCTGGTAAGGCTGGATGGTTGCTTGGCCATTAATGGAGAGAGGCATTAGAGAGGATAAGGGGCACCAGAAAAGCACTGGAGGAAGGATACTTCGATACCAGGTGACTTAACAGACAGAGCTGTAATAGAGGTTGCAGATACTGGGATGCAATTATGAATGTTGTCAAGTTGGGGTAATGATTGATAAAAGAGGCGCAAGACGGCGGGTAACATCTGCAACAATCATGCAGTGCTTCACTATGTAACTATGACAGGCAGAACTAGGTCCCTTACAGATAGCAATCAAGTTCCACACCACATATCACGCACTAAATCCTGCTTTCACACATGACAAGTTCCCCCCACCACAGCGCACCCCTCTCTCCCTTCTGGGGCAGAAACAGAGCCACACTGCAATGATTTACAAATACTGCCATGCTGATCTGGGAACCGGGACGCTTGTATGCATTCATATATTGGTTTCACTTAGTACAAGGCAACAAGGAGAATAAGACAGGAAAAAAGCAACAGCTCAAGTTAAGTGACCTCCAGTAAACAAACAGAGGGCTGTTCCAGGACAGCAGAGGAGCAGGGGGTAGGAAGAATCTGGCTTAACTCTCCATTGGAAGTGTCCAAAGTAGTCTGAACAAGCACAACCAAGGCTCAGAACTCAGCCAAGTTGCTCAGCAGGCTCAGAGGCTCTGTCAAGAAAGCCATAGGAGCTGTTTAGGGAAACCTATCTGAGACACAGACATGTGTGAAGCAGCCCAGCCTCACTCAAGTTCCCTGCAGTAGGCAGCGCGGAGAGACATGCAGAGATGGTAGTTTTTCAGTTATCTTTTCTTTCTAAAAGCATCACTTCTTCCATGAGACGCAACCAAGAGCAGACTGCTTTATCCCTGAATACTCACAACTGCAGCTCCCCCAAAGATGACAAATGCCCAGCCCCGCAGACACCCCTCTGTGGCACCCTGTGTGTCACTGCTGCCTCTGGCCAGTGAGGCCTGATCTTTCACCCAAGAGAAGAAAAGACCACATCTCTATGCTTGCCCTCAGCAAGACCATAGTGAGGACGAAGATGGAGCTCTGCTGGAGCAGCTGATGCCCAATTCCAGTGTTTGTGAAGGTAACAGTGGTGAATATCCAGGAAGGTGATGACAGCAACAAGAGTCTAATCTGGCCAACAGGGTGCAGAGTGATATTCCCCTAGCATGTTTTAGCCTTAGACCTTACTTTCAAGCTTCTTTTCCTGTCCCCTCTCACCTTTCCATGCCTGTTGATTACCCCAGAAGATCTCTTCCTCTGCCAAGTGAGTTTTCTTTCAATACTGGGACATTGCCTTGCTCCCATACTACTTCAGACAATGGCCTTTGTTACCAAAACCATGAGGGCAAGGAATGGCTGTGAATGATTCATATATTGCTGTTTCTGTTCTAATATTATAACACTAGATATGCAGATCTCTGCAAGCCCTTGACATTTCCTCTACATTTTCCCACTGATTTCCTCCTTATTGTTACAGATGAATTGCTTGCCCTGCAGCCCTACTATAGGAACAGGGTTTAAAGATATGCCTCAGTAAAGGACATCCACACATGCTTGCTTCCCAAATCCAAAGAGAAGTACTAGGATTCCTGAAACTTCTTCTTTTACTGTAGCCTGATAATTCTCTTCTCCCTAAAGTTCCCACTCCCTAAAGGAAATACCAGGAACTCTCCACCTCGGTTTCTGAAGGAAGAGGTCAAAAGAGAAGTTGGAAAGAATAGATGAGGGCAGATTCATAGTAACTCAGAAGATCAGACCCACAGGCGGCACAGGGAAGAGCAAAAGAAGGACAAACTTAGTATTTAGCACTGCAGAGGTGGACAATTTTTTTACGATTAGCTCCTTCTTGGCCCCATCCTTCATGCTCAGAGGGAAACGTGATGGTTTCTGCAGAAAGCATCTGCAGAAAGTAGCTGACGTTTGTCCATCCCAAGAATGCCCTGTCTTCCTTTTCAGCCACCACTGCCTATCACTTGGGGGCTGGCTGCTTCCCCAGAAATGGCTCTAAGAGCAGTACAGAAGGGCATAAGACATCTGAACAGTTTCCACCTGCCCATAGTTGGTTCTGGATCTAAGTACCTCCAGAGTCCCCACACAGGAACTACACTCCAAGGGTGAAAAACAGAAAACAGACGCTCATATGAAACAGACCATCCCATCCAGGGGCATCTCAGGACAAATTTACTAGCCAGGAGCAAGCACTATAGCAAATCACAGTTCTCCTGTATGGAAATCCTTTGATAGTTGGATAGTAATGGCTGAAAATTAGGCAAACCCATAGTCCAGACAGGCATTAGATATGCCAAAAAGATCCGTGTGCTGGCAAACACACTATTCAGCTGGTTCATTTCCTGTACGCCGTTTGAAACAGCCAGAGTTCTTTCTCACTATTTAGTCCTTTGAGTGCAGAGTAAAATAAAAACAGAAAAAGAAACATGCAGCTAACAAAAGTCCCAAGCTCAGCATATCAGGATGGACTTGAGCACAGAGAGAGCAGACAGAGGACCCCCCAGAGCTGGGAAAGCCCCCACTTGTAGCATATGTTCTGCACAGTCTGCTCTGTGAACATGGTAATAAATTCCTCTCTTGCCTGTACAGCTGCTGTTCACAAGGCTGGTTCCTTTCACCAGAAAGAGGACCTAACACAGCTCTTTCACACCCTTACAGACACAGGCAGTGGGCAGAAGCCTAGCAAAAAACCCATACGGTACCCACCTCATAAAGTGAATGTTCTTTCATACTCTTTCCGGTGGACCCATGTCATCAAGGAACTGTAGCAAGCTCTTCATTAGTCCAAACTCAAAGCCCATGTGGTCCAGGATTCTGTGTGTGAAAGGGGAACAGAAAATTGGTGGATTTATAAAAAGCATTAAGGGGTCTAGCATCCCCTGATTGGTCATGGTAAAGTGCCTCTGGTGGGTGTGACCTACACCCTGAATGTCATTCGCTGTTTCAGGAAGATCAGTCATTGCACCTGATTTTGCCAGGGCATCCATTCAGGTGTTCTGGCCTCTAGCATTAAGTCCCACCTCGCAAGAAGTGAGGCGATAGACTGCAGTTTTCTACAGCATGGACATTAAAGCTCATTGTCAAAACTCCTTTTACAGAAAAAGCAGTCAAAATAGGCATCAGAGGAAGAGTGATGTGACCTCTTGGAGAGCTCTGCTTTAGGAGAACATGAGTCTTTAACCTCAGCATGCACATTTCTTTCCATTGGCTGCAAAAGAGTTTAGGCCATGGGCTCAGGTGAAGATGTTTGCTCTGTAGTTAGGCGAGTTGAATCCTGACAAGATTGTGCAGCTGGCTTCTAGCATAATGCTGTATAGTCTCCATCACTCTCCACATGCAGCTCACAGCTGCACGGGGAGCAGAAGTTTCTATTAAGCTGCCTTCAATAAGCCCCGAGTCTTTTTCCAGAGCTCATTTTAAGTGCTCCCAGTCACATGAATATTTTGCCTTCCCTTCTAGTACGTCCTGTTTCGCATGTGCCACCAATTTAGCTCTGTTTGCCATTGTACTGGTCCTTCACCTGCTTTGCTTGGCTTAAGTCCCACTGACATGTCTCCCCCATTGAAGTACCAGGCTTTGACGAACATAAATAACTTTGTTGGTATTTAGACATTTCATTTCTTTACTCCCATTCCCCTTCCCGGGCTGCCAATATCTATGTTAAACAATACCAGACCTTGTCACTTCTCTGCCAACCTTTTTTTCAGGGACAAAATTTGCCATTTTTTCTTCTTTATTGCCTCCAATCTCTTAGATAGCTTTTCATTCATGTTTCTCATCACGTGACAGCCTTTCTTTCTTTAGCAAACACTTAATCAAGATCTTATTAAAGGCCTTTAATGGAAGGATGGTGGATGCTGGAGTTCAGATTTTTGTTTTTCTTTTTGGTACAGAAATCAGGTTGGAAATGCTTGGAAAATTAGCTCCCAGGGTGTATGCAATGCATTTCAAGCCCATGAGTAAACTTCTCATCTTAGTTACACAGGTGAAAATTAAGCAAACAAGCAAAAACTATTAGCTTTGATTGGTTACTTGGGTAGAGTTAGCATAACTGAAAGAAAAACCTACTACAAAAGTTACGAGAAGTTTACAGTCTGATCAGATACTGTATTATAAATATAACAAGCTGTTGCCGTCAATAACAATTTTATTTATAACATCACCTTGTCCAATGCACTGGGAACACTATATACTTGCAGATATCAGTATTTTGTTACTAAATACACCTGTTAATAATCAACAATAACAGTGATCTGGAGAACCCAGTAAGAAGAGATGAGAATGAGAAAGCAAGCCAGCAAATAGGAAGATCCCATAGAAAATGCAAAAAATTATTGGTATGAGATGTGTCTCTGTGCCTTTCCTTGCTGTTATTCTCTCTACGGAGCAAAACAAAGGAGGCGGGTAGGAGGAAACGTGCCGGAAATGAAATAAGGTTGGTTGTAAGATGCCCCGATGGGAGTGACGCCCAGGGGACCGGGAAGCAGCTGGTCCTCCCAGCGCTGGCCTGTTTGGCCAGTGAGCTGGGTTGTCACCAGCCCTATCCGGACCCCGAGCTGTCCTGTCTAACACCATTTCCGACAGCCAGACGGAGCCGTGTCCTGCCTCTCCCAGCCCAAGCACCGAGGTGCCAAGACTCTGTGGAACTTGCCCAAAATTTGCGAGGGAAGAATGAGGCTGAAGTCACATTCACGCATGCGGGCCTGCTTTTGTTATTTTAACCCACTTATCGGAGCAACGTGTTCCTGTTGATTTCTAAACCCTGTTTTGTTTTGAAAAGGCCGAACTGCGTCGCTGCGCGCATTGTCTGGCTACAGAGCTCCCGAAGGGGGAATTTCCAGCTGAGATCCAAGTCAAACCAGCTCAGCAAAATGAGTCACGGGGAAACACGGGGGTTTGAAGCCAGGCATCCAGTTTGAAAGGGGTGGTCCCAGTCTGAAAGGATGGAGAGCACAGGGCAGGGGCACCCGTGGAGAAGATGCAGAGGCGTGTGGAGGGCAGCAAGCACACTGGCCGTGGAGGGGTCATGCTGACACGGGCAGATGGATACAGGCATGCCAGTGTGACCAAACCCATCACAGCTGACAGGGCTTTCCCCTCTTTCTCTTGTGGTTCTAGAGCCTGCAGACCCAAAATCACCTGGGGACCTGGAAAGCATGATATCTGCTTGCTTCTGGGAGGTAACACCCAGGGAATGTGTCACCAGTAATGTGTCTGGAAAGCAGGAAAGCCCAGAGAGACAACTAGATGAGGAGGGTGAGTCTACAAAAAGTGACCCTACAAAGAAAGGCTTTTGACCTGTAGGGTGAGAAACACATATAGGGTCAGGGCTGGGAAACATGTATGAATTCAGCAGCATAAAAAGGAGACAAAAAGGGAAAAAAAAGAGGTGGTTGGAGTCACTCTGATGAGGGAAGAGAGTGGGAAATCCAAAGAAAGGAAAGCAGTAGGCAAAGGGCAAGCTAAGATAGAGGGAAGCCAAGGATGCTGAAAGTGGTGAATAAAATGATGATGCTGGGAAGGCCTTCTTGAATGAAAGAGGAAGCCAAGATGGCTGGTCTGTGAGCGGGAAGGTCCTTCCCAGTTGGTACACTACAAGAGGGGAACAGCCACCAGTCCCTGAAAGCTCAATCCAGAAAAGGACAAATGCAGAAATGCATAAATGGAAAGGCAGGAGGGGATGTGAAAAAAGGGAAATCTGCACGGGGATGAAAACGGTCTTCGGTTTATCCCAGTCAGTCCTTTTGCTGTTTACTCCCTCAGGCCTTTTATTGTCCTCTCTCTGAGATATTTCTAGGTAGCTAAAGTGGTTACTACAAGCATATCAGATCCTTACTGAAGTTCACATGGTTTCTCTCCACAGAGAGGACATGGGAATCTCAATATATGGTATCTCCTATCAAAAGTATTTTGCATTTAGCTCACACATGGGTAATGTTTGCAGATTCCTTCAAAGATGAGCTTTAGCTGTCCTAACTACTTCAGTATTCCTGTTTTCCTTATACCTGTACTCTGTCTGCAGAGATAACGTCACTGAGAAAAAATAGAGATTTGCTCCTTCAGAAAAGCCTTGTTTTTGTCTTATCAGTGAAATAAGCACATCCTGTGCACAGAGGCTAAAAAAAAAATAAAAAAATCAAAGTTCCCTGAGACCTCACTATTGGGCTAGACTGCCAGAGTATTATAAAATGGCTTAAGTAAATAAATAACATTGCATTGTCCAAAAACTCCTTTCTTGGAAAGCTTTGTATCCAACTGTTCATGCAGTAAAGGTAACATTAACATCTTCCTCGTCCTTTAAAATGCACTCTATTACATTGCCATAAAAAATGTGGGGAAAAGATACTCCAAAATTATTCCAAATAAGGAAAAACTGAAGCATAATTTATTACAGCCATAAATTCTCATGTAAATGTCAGCAGCCAGTAGACCCTGAATTTCAGTGATGGCAACTCTCCTAGTTGGAAAGACACAGTGTTTAGTTTGAGGCTGTAAAAATGCTCATCTGTACCCTTTGGACAGTCAGTACCCAGAAACCGCCTTCCAGCCATAGAGAGAGACTCAGATGTGTCAGATCCACATCAGGATTTAGTGCCACAGCAACCACCGTCAGCAGTACAAGCACTTGCACAGCGGGGTGGTTGTAGTGGGACACTGTGTTGTTGTCTCTCAAGGTGAACTTCAGGTTTCATCTGGGAAACCCAAGACACCTTTGCTATAGGAATCGCTTCTGCAAGATAAGCCGTCCCTCGGGACAGAAGCCTGTCGCCTAAAATTGAAGGTTGCTTGTCAGGTGTCACTCCCAGGGCCTTTGGGATCCAGAATATCTCAAGGCACCCAGTTTGCAGAAGATGGCTGGTTTGAATTCAACTTGGCTGCTCTGAGCAGAGGTGCAGGAGGAACAGCAGGGCAAAGGCAAGCAGGGTTTTGAAGCAAGGAGCCAATTTCCACCCTTGGGCTGACTCCTTGTGTGTTTTTTATTTGGTCAGGCCAACATTTTCCACCTGTGCTCCCTCCAGCCCAGGGGACCTTAGTCCTTGTGCCCAGGGCCACTTGCATGCCTTTCTCCTTAGCTCTGCTCTGCCCTTACCTCAGCCTGTTCCCTGGCGTGCCTGAAGCAGCCTTCGCCTCTGCAGCAGGGTAATTCAGATGCAAGGCGGCAAAGGAGGTGATTTATGACATAAAGCAACGCCAAAGCTGGTGCTCAGAGCTTGTACTGCATTCATTTGTAATACAAACTGCCAAAAAAGCCTACCTTGACTGACTCATATACACGTGTCTATTGAGGAGGGCTGTGATATTATAGCATTAAGAGCTGCTCATGGTTTTGCTATGGCAAATGCCTACAGACGTGTCATAGGTGGAGATGCTGTTTATGTTTAAAAATACAAATAGTTTATTTACAGGATGGCCACGTTCTCAAGGTGACAAATCCAGCCATAGAGAGAGACTCAGATGTGTCAGATCCACATCAGGATTTAGTGCCACAGCAACCACCGTCAGCAGTACAAGCACTTGCACAGCGGGGTGGTTGTAGTGGGACACTGTGTTGTTGTCTCTCAAGGTGAACTTCAGGTTTCATCTGGGAAACCCAAGACACCTTTGCTATAGGAATCGCTTCTGCAAGATAAGCCGTCCCTCGGGACAGAAGCCTGTCGCCTAAAATTGAAGGTTGCTTGTCAGGTGTCACTCCCAGGGCCTTTGGGATCCAGAATATCTCAAGGCACCCAGTTTGCAGAAGATGGCTGGTTTGAATTCAACTTGGCTGCTCTGAGCAGAGGTGCAGGAGGAACAGCAGGGCAAAGGCAAGCAGGGTTTTGAAGCAAGGAGCCAATTTCCACCCTTGGGCTGACTCCTTGTGTGTTTTTTATTTGGTCAGGCCAACATTTTCCACCTGTGCTCCCTCCAGCCCAGGGGACCTTAGTCCTTGTGCCCAGGGCCACTTGCATGCCTTTCTCCTTAGCTCTGCTCTGCCCTTACCTCAGCCTGTTCCCTGGCGTGCCTGAAGCAGCCTTCGCCTCTGCAGCAGGGTAATTCAGATGCAAGGCAGGAGGTGATTTATGACATAAAGCAACGCCAAAGCTGGTGCTCAGAGCTTGTACTGCATTCATTTGTAATACAAACTGCCAAAAAAGCCTACCTTGACTGACTCATATACACGTGTCTATTGAGGAGGGCTGTGATATTATAGCATTAAGAGCTGCTCATGGTTTTGCTATGGCAAATGCCTACAGACGTGTCATAGGTGGAGATGCTGTTTATGTTTAAAAATACAAATAGTTTATTTACAGGATGGCCACGTTCTCAAGGTGACAAAACAGAGCACATATCCAGTGGGAGGAAAGCCAGTGAACATGGCTGGAGTGAGGAACAAGGATGCTATTCTTGTCCTCCTTTTTTAATTTCTCATCTCCTTTGTTTCAGGCTTCTTCTCTTTCTCTCTCCACCTCACTCTCAGCCAAATCCGAATCCCTTCCTTCACACCTGCCTGCTGTTCCCTCTCTGCAAGCCCCATTCACAGTCCCAACATTGCAGCTTCCCAGCAGTGGTGGGAAGGGACAAAGAGTGGGGCTGGCCCACATGCGTGACCCACAGCCCTTTCCCGGAGGTGATGCTGGTGGTGGCTCTGCCAACCCTAGCTGGCCTTGCTCGCAGGTTGTGGATGACCTGTTTTATATGTGAGAAGGTATCTATGGAGCAATTGTCCTGGAGATGCTTTCTAGACACTTTGCATCAGCAAGGCACAATCTCTCTGGGGCTACTCAGCCAGCATTAGAGAATGCAGCCTGACCACACAGTATCATGCCGTTGACTTTGAAGCCAAATTCCTTGCTGATTACTCCTTTTTTCCCCAAAGCTGAATGTTTACAAGCAGTAAGTCCACAATGCTCAGTCACTATTGCAGTTCCTTCCCCACACACCGGAAATTATTGGGAATTTTTCAGCGGGTATCCTTTCATGTTAGTAGGTGCACAAGAACATCAGGGGGAATGAGGCAGGCTGTATTTTTACTCGGGGTAAAGATGCCCCAAACTGAAGCAAAGATCTAGGAAGGCTTAGGGTCAAGAAGAGACACTGTGAAGGCGGATGATGTAGGAAACACTCTTTGGAAGGTTCTCCTTGGGCTTGGATGGGGATCAGATGACAGTTGGCACTTACTGAAAAGGGTCTTGTCTGAATCAACCTATTAGTCATGTCAACAGCTTGCTCATCACGTCAGCCTCAGGCCCTGCTGTGCCCCCAGGGCTCATATCTGCAGAAGAGTTGCTCCCCAAATCTTCCTGTTGAAAACCAAATGCAAAAGTGCGGCATTAGGGAAGAATTGGTCCCTAAACTCTAGAGGAACGATCAGGTACTTACAAACAGGTCTTGTCACTGTCTTTGCAGGATCAGCCTGTCTATACATTTAAATGCTATACACTTAGACACGATACCTCAGAAATGAAAGATGCTTTGTTTTAATGATCATTCTAATTTTCAACCATCATATTTTAAACCCAGTTTCCTCAGAAAATGAGGGCAGCCTTAGTTAAGGTATTAAACTTTTTCTCCTTTCTTCTCCACTTCCCCTTTCTGCTCCTGTCTAGGGTGGCTCTGCCTGCTTCAGCCTTTCTTTTGATTTTTAAAAACACAGATGTAAGTAGATAATGAGGCCACAGGAGGAGAATCCTTCAGGATGTCTTGTTTGGTTTGGAAATATTTAAATGTCTGCTGCATTTCCTTTGAGCACAAGGCAGGAGTCTGCAGAAGTGCACTGCTCCTTCTGCTGCCCACAGTACTGCTAGGGGTGGGAGAGTGTGCGTGCATGTAAGCACATGTGTGCATGCTTGCATGGGATGGTTTCTAATCTTTTCAGCATGGCTTCTTTTCCTGGGATAATGTGAAACATTTCTCTAGGTCACATTTCCCTGGAGGAAAAGATTTTAACTCTAGTAGTTCAGGTGAAGCCTGTTCTTTCTAAATCGCCTGCCAGTCACACATGCTTGCAGCAAATTCATAACTTTTTAGGTAACGGTAGTTTGAAGAGTGATTTTTGGGGTTTGAATAGGTTTAAATGTTAGTGGGCATTATGGCTGTTGGTTGGTGGTTTTAGATTAAGGGATCGTAATGAAGATGAAAATTTTATTGTTGTGTTATACATAAACCAGTGAATGGATATTGGATGAATTACTTGATGAATCAGGATCATAGTTAATCAGCTTTACTGCAAGGGTGGTACAAAGCAGTGGCCCAACAGATACTAACACAAAAAGAGACACCTTCCTCATTTTGCTCCATGCAGTTAAGACTCTGTGTTGCTGGCTGCCCTTGACTTTCCACTGAAAAACACCTCGTGGCCTGCCTATTATGGATGGGGCCTGGGAAGAGGTGGAATATAGCTCTGATTAAAAGGCAAGGATCAGAAAAGGACACTTCATTGCAGGCAAACGTGCATAGAAGAACAATGGCTTATACCACAGATGATCTGGGGGCTTTTAATAAGAGATGAAAAGTCAGTCACATACTAGCCGTGCTTTTCCTGGCTTAATCTAAAGATAGCTGAGGTTTGCAAAGAATATTAAAAATAAAGAGCTGCATAAACAAATAGTCAAAGGAAGTGGCAGTATTCATGCTAGAAAGAGCCATGCCATTGCAAAACATGAAAGATCACTTTTTGGCTTCTCTAAACACATTTGAGCTCTATGGTTCAAAGTTAGAATATACTTATCAATACAAAGACCAATAGATTAAATTTGCAATATATAAATAAGAGGAAATTGCTCTTTGAACCAAGAAATCTAATAAATCTGAAAATACCCTAACCATGGCAAATTGGCAAATGATTGTGAAATTTTGAAGTGATCTGTTTGGATTTTCAGAAACAAGATTGTTTCGAAGAAGCATAAATTATAAATACTATTGCACACCGGCTTTGCTCCACATACACTATCCCAACATAGACATTTAAGTCTAATCTTAATTATGGTTTTTTCATGTGCATTTGAAAATAACTATCTTTTATTGCCTATGCCTTTGTATGCCATTTTAATCATTGCATACTGACACATCAGCGTGTTTTGTACCCGTTGTAAAAAATTCTCAACTTCCTTATTTAGCTCACATAAAAACAAGCTTTTCAAAACAAACTAGTGGAAGGATGAAAACCCTTCAAATGTTTTAATTTAATTTCTAAGAAGACAATAAATGTGAGGAAATGTTTTTAACGTAACTTACTGTATCAGTCGAGACTGTAGTGTAAAGAATATTTTTTTTCTATTATTTCAGTTCATAGGGCCAATAGTTGAGTGATGCAGCTACCCTGCTGTTAAAAATAGTAGTACTTACACAAGTTTAAAGCAGAATACCACGAAATGCACTCTACGACCACAAATGCATTCCAGAGTATTGTTTCTAGTAAATATGTGTCCTGGGCTTGTCTTGTGAGCAAGTCAAAGAATGGGATTAATCCATCTACTAAGAATGGACATTAGATGCGAGCACAGTGAGCACACATACACATGCAAGCATACACACACACACACATAAAAAAGTAAATATTTATTAAATGGATGTCTCAGTGTCAGCCCTGCTCTGTATGTTGACATGATCCAAGTCTAGAAGCCACAGCTCAAAACAAAACAACCTATGAATGCTTGACCTGGAAACAGTGAGAAATTCTTTTGCAATTCACTGATCTTCTAACACTTAACCCTTACCAGTTCTACTTCTGCTTTCTGGGTGAATGTCTGAGACAGAGCTTGAGTGGCAGAAAGTTAATTATGTATCTCCAATAGATTACCTGCCTTAGGGGAGCAGGGCGTGATGAAGTAGGATGTGTTCTGAACAAGTGGAGAAACAACTCACATAGCACATGCTGGAAAAAAGAAAGAAAACCTTTGAAACAGCAAAGATTCTTACATTCAAATTACTCTTTTCCAAGTCTGTAATTTCTCAGCTAGGTCAAAACAGAAAATGAGTGATTACTGTTACAACTGGCATACACTCTGCACTTTGGCTGCATTTAAGATACACAACATTTTCCAGAGAATCATGTTGGATAATTTGTCTTGTGTATTTTAAGCCTTTTTCACATGTCCTGAAAGACATAAGCAATAAACTACCTTAAGGAGTGCAGTGGTTGAAGAGGGGAGGCAGCCTGGGCCCAGTGTCAGGGCACTCGGGTGCTTTTCCTGGCCGTGCTGTCCATCTATCATACAGCTCCAGATGGGTTGCTTACACCAATACTCCCCAGCTTGGCTGCCTAAAGTTCAAAATCTCTTTGGCAAGAGTAATTTCCAATGTCAATAGTACTGTTTATCTTCACACAGAAAAGAAAGTAACTGCAGCTAGACACCTAAGTCCAGATTGACAGGCAGAAATAAGCACTGTGATTTGCAGAACTAAGCTCCTACAGGGTCAGCTTATGACACTGTACCTGTTTGTGTGCTTGTGCTGCCCAACTTGCATGGTTTTAGAGGGTCAGTATAAGGAAAGAGAGTCCTTGATGGAGATTCACAGCAGGAACTGCACTTTGGTTCTCAGCAGACCTCAAGCTCCCAGCGACCCAGGTGTCCAGGCTGGTCATCTGCTGTAAGGGGCTCTCACTCCTTGCACAGGCTACTTTCTTATGGAAAACAGATCATGAGAAGGAAGTACTGAGGATTAAGGTGGGCTCTCACCTTGCGTTGAATCTGGGTGATCACACACACTTACAGGAAACTGGACGGCACTTCTGAATTCTCCAAAGCTGACAAAAATTTGAAGGAACTGACAGATGATATCATTGTGAGGCCACTCTTGATAATCTTTGGAAGGTCATGGAAACTGGGTGAAGTTCCTCAAGACTGAAAAAAGTGAGGGTCACTGCTAGCTTCAAGAGGGGCAATAACAATGATTTAGGGAACTACTGGCTAGTCAGGCTCACCTCAATCCCTGGGAACATGATGAAGCAAATTACCCTGGAAATCATTTCGTGATTGAGAGTATTCAGTGGGGATTTATGAAGAGGAAAATCAACAACAAAGCAACTAGCTCAATGGATGAAGGGAGAACAGTGGAATTTGTTTGTCTAGCAAAGCGTTTTGCTGTAGCATCCTCATTAACAAACTGATACAGTATGGGCTAGATAAGTGGACAGTCAGCTGAAGTGAAAACTTGCAGAACTGCCAGGCTCAAAGTGTTGTAATCAGCAGCATAAAGTCCATCTGGAGTGGTGTGTCCCAGGGGTAAATTCTGTGTCCAATACTGTTAAATGTTTTCATTAATAACCTTAACAATGGGATACAGAGTTCACCCTCAGCAGACGATATAAGGCTGGGAGTGGTGGCAATACACCAGGTGAATGTGGTACCATTCAGAGGGACCTCAACAGGCTGGATAAATGGGCCAACAGGACCTTCATGAAGTTGAATAAAGGGAAGTGCAAAGTCCTGCCTGTGGAGAGGAATAACCTGACGCACCAGTACAGGCTGGGGACCAACCAGCTGGAAATCAACTTTGCAGGAAAGGATTCAGGGGATCCTGGTGGATCCCCAGTTGCCCATGGCTCACCAATGAACCCAGGTGGCAAAGAAGGTCAACAGCACCCTGGGTTGCACTAGGAAAAGCATTGCAGCAAGTCAAGGGATACCATCCTTCCTCTCTGTTCAGCACTGGTGAGACACATGGGGAGTGCTGGGTCCAGATCTGGGCTTCCCAATATCAGAGACACATGGACATACTGGAACAGGTTCATTAAGGGGACACAAAGATAGTGAAAGGACTGGAGCACTTCTCATATGAAGAGAAGCTGAGAGAGCTGGGATTGTACATCCTTGAGCAAAGGCGGCATCTCATAAATCTATATAAATACCTGGAGGGAGTAAGGAAGATGGAGCCAGACCCTTTTCGATGGTGCCCTGTAACAGGACAGGAAGAAATGGGTACAAACTGAAAAACCAGAAGTTCCATTTGAACATAAGAAGAAAACTCTTTTTTTTTAACTATGGGGATGGTCATAAACTGGCACAGGCTTCCCAGAGAGGTAGTGGAGTTTCCATCCGTAGAGATACACAAAACCCAACAGGATGCGGCCATGAGAAATTTGCTGTAGCTGACCCTGCTTTGAACACAGATGGTGGACTAGATGGTCTCCAGAGCTGCCTTCCAGCTTCAGCTGTTCTGTGATCCTGTGACCCCCGTGATCATTCTGTCTAATCTTTTGCACTACACAGGCCACAGAATTTCATTCATGGCTTCCTCATACACACAACTCAGAAACATTAACTGAACAAAGCATAACTTTTAGACA